GCGGGCGGCTAATGCGTTGGAGCTTTTGATGGACGGGCACGTAAAATGGTTTGCAACTTTGCAGTTGCTTTGCTCCTCGTGGCACGGCGGCGTGCGGAAGAGCTCGATTCCGCGGCGCGCTCGTGGCGGCACGGTGGTTTTCGGGAGACGTCGGGTTTTTGCGGCTTCGTAGCGAGACGTCTCGCTTCTGGGTCTCTCCAAAAAGTCTTTTGTGTGTCACAACCAGGAGTGCAGAGCAAAGCTTTCGCCCTGGAGTGGGAGGAGAGAAATTTCGTATTTCGTGACATTTAAAGGGCACGTGAGCGTTTTAACGACGTCTGGAATTCGTAAATGCTGGTTTACAGGTTTTGTGCCTTGTGACGTGCTGTAAGCAATCCTGCTGCTCGACTTTTGTGGGGTTTTTGGCTGCCTCTTCAGCCCCCCCCAACCCCTTTCCTTTCCTCTTTGACCCTCCCAGGTGTCTGTAGGTGCCCTCAATGGCTATGTCCTACCAAACATGCTCCTGCACAGGGACCCAGGAGCTCCGGAGCACACCAGCCACTTCCTCTCCGTGTTTACTTTGAGTTGTAACTTTGTTCCTCGGTCTGCCGTTGCACCGGAGAAACTCGGGATGGTATTGCCTTTGTCAAGACATAATTGCAATAAAAGTTTTTCTTCTGAACATTTCAGTGCTTTTCCTTTGGGCCAAGCTTCCCCAGGAAGAGACAGGACTCTGAGTCATTTCAGGTGGGTTTTTTTTTTTAGATGTATGTGGGCTTTGAGCAGCTTTTCGGATCCATTGCAAAATTACTAGAACACATATTAAATAAAGAAAAAGCAGAAGGGCTGCGTTTGTTTAAAATACTGTCTCTGAGCATATCTGTCTCTGTTGTGCTGGAAGTTACACTGTGCCTCTAAGGTCACAATTCACTGTAATGTGTTATTTTTAAAATTACTAAGACACTAAGCCGTAATTTGGAGCTGCAAATCTTGGAAGAGGAAGCAGTGTCGTATTCTTCATATAGTAGGAGTTTCTCCTGGCTTCACTGACGGCAGCAGTGGCTCTGGCTTAGAAGCTGCTGGAATTGGTTATTCCTCTTTCTGGATTGAGGCATATAACTATGTTTTAAAAAAGTGGTTTCAAATTTGAGTCTGGACCCAGTCTCTGTTCCTGTCTGCTTATTCCTGCTCTCTCTGTCGTCTTCTGGCCTAAGTGTTTATGTAGTCCCATAACGAACGGGTCCAGCTGAGGAATAATGATAAAGTGCTTCCTCCTCTTCTGCCTGCCCTCTAAAGGTGGATTATTTTCCTCGCCTGGTTAACTGTGCATTTGCATGAATGCTTTCATGTTTGAGCAGTGATGGTGGTGGGGAGTAGGTAGGGGGCAGGACAAGCAGCTTGGGAGCAGTTTGGGCCAGGAGTTTCCTAAGCAGATGCTGTGTAGGGGATGACCACAACCTTTCAGTCCTAAGTCCTTGGAGACACTTTTCCAGTTTTAGTGTAATTCATATTAACCTTGTCTCAGTTTTTGGAGACTTTTTAATACTTTGGTTCTTTCTGGTTTTGTTTTTGTTTTTTTTTAATCTATTTTTTTTACATAGACAGTCTAACTTGAGCTAACTGCTTTGCTGTTACTATACTAGAATACACTGTCCCATACTAGAAATTCTATGCTTATGCTATTTTTTCAGACCTTTCCCTTAATAAAGGCTTCAAGGAAGCAGATAATGTGTTCGAAAGAGGCTTTTTCCTTGGAGCTTTTTTTGTTTGAGAAGGCCCTAGAGAGGTTGTTAGTATCTTATCAGCGTGAACACCACCACTGTGGTAAAGTGGGGTCTGTGCTGCTGAAACAGTTAGTAATACTTCTTTCCTCTCATCCTGTGACAACTTTATTTCAAGTTATTCTTGGCCTTCAAGTAGAAACCTCGCAACAAGCAGCCTGGCTTCAGGAGTAACAGAAGGTAATCTTAATCACAAAGCTCCAGCTGTCCTCAGAAAGCATTTAAACATCATTGGCATTGATTTGTCTCCAGCAGGTATAAGTTGCGTTGATACCACTTCCCTCCTCAGTGGGAAAAAAGAGAGACCCTAATAAGTAGGTGCTACTATAGTTCTGCACTGCAGTCATAACACATTGGCTTATTTTTGCTTTATGCATAAAAAATAAAAGCACTTCACCTCGCAGTGGTTTTTTTTCAGTAGTACAAATGGTTATATTATTTAAAACAAACAACAACAACGAGTTGGATTAATTTGTGCCTGCTTGCCAGGCTGTAGTCTTTCACGTGAAACCAGGTGTTTTAAAAGAATCTCTTTCCGTTTTGCCACTGATGGAAAGTTTTCCAGGGTTTTGACCTTTATCTTTGCATCACCTAAGCTTGGTGATTCCTTGCTTTGCAGCTTGTCAGCAGTTCACTTCTGTTCTTTCTCCTTGCTCCTGTGTAATCCTGAAGTTAAGTGTTCAGAATGGTACCAAAGACTTGTAATCAAACCTGAATGTGCTATTCGAGACGGGGGGGAAGGAGTCTGAGGAGACATTTGTGGTGCTCCTGGGAGGAGAGATCATGCTTGAAAATGGGCATTTTTTATTTGAGACAACTGAGTGATAAGTACATCTGTGCTGATATCCCCGATGTCTGTTATTGTGTGAATTACACTATGTTCATTTATACCTAGTTTGAATCTTCCTCTGTGCATATAAAAACATTTTAACATGGTCTATACTTAATTTGTCTCTTCCACAGTAATCATGAGGAGGAGTTGACATGAAAGCAATAATATTCATTTGGAGTTTAATGTGAGCTTCATTCTTGGAAGTTCAACACACGTTTTTCATGAAGGAAATAAAACTTGTTCTCCTGAGTTGCAGCGAGTGCTGGTATTGAAGTCCAGAGGGTTTTAATTTCCCTCCTTGGTTCTTTTCTGTGTTTTTTTTTTCAGCCCAAGTGGTAAAAAGTTCCGAAGCAAGCCCCAGCTGGCGCGCTACCTGGGGAGCTCCATGGACCTGAGCTCTTTTGACTTCCGCACAGGAAAAATGCTGATGAATAAAATGAACAAGAACAGACAGAGGATGCGCTACGACTGTTCCAACCAAGCCAAAGTAAGACTAGGATGCAGTGGCAGTTTTCCCCTTGCCATCTGCTATTGTAGTGGCCAGGCTGCCTCTCGGAACAATATCTGTGAGCCCGTGAAAATTAAGCAGTGTGTAATTCATGTGTGAGGTAGCATCTCTGTTAGGGGATGTTGGACAAATACTGTGATTCACGGGTTCTTCCAGGGTACTGACACCATGGAAGAATATTGTGGTACTGCTGAATCTGTGCAGAAGGGCTGGAGAGGGGGCTGGCATCCTCCTCTCCTCCCCTCCCTGCCGTGCAAGATCCCCTTCTCTGGCAGGATCTCCTCCAGAGCCCCAAATCTCCAGCTGGTGCCTGTGACTGTGCAGCAGCTCCACTCTGCTCTGGCCTTTGTTTGGGGGAGGAGGGAAGAGTGGCATGGGGCAGCAGGGATGAGGAGGTAATGCAGCAACTCCCTGGAGCTGTTGGTAGGCTGGTGTCTTGGCTTTGGATTTGATCTAAGGCAAGGATGCATTTTGGGCAAAAAGCTGAAGAGAAAAGAGGACGACAAGGCCTATTTGTAGAACAAAATAAAAGAGTCTGTGTTTGGCACCTGGTAATTTTGATTGGTAAGGTTCAGTCAAGGTTACAGTGATGTTGGTGTACTGTCTGTCTGGATAGATTGGCTCAAGTCATCCCCAAGTATCTTCATCAGATGCTAAAAGCTCTTTCAGAACCCAAAAGCTTGTGTCTACACACCTAAACACTAAGTGTGGAAAACAGCATAATGCTTATTTTCTAAATACGTCAACCAGTCAAGAATCCTCATCATCAGAGTGACTGGAACATGTACTTACGGCACGAGGTGCTGTAGAGATAGTTCAGAAGAAACGTGTTGCTGCAGAGACCAGCAGCTAGCACATCTCACAGGCTACACATTTTGCCCAAACTTTTCCATAAATGTACGAATAGTTATCATTGGCTTATAAATGGATTAGCATACACGTGGTTCAGAGTGATATTTGTCCTGAATACATCTTTTCTACACCTCATGAATAAATATGTCTGTCTGCATTCTGGAGAACAAAGTATGTCCTACAGCCATTTCAAGACTTGCATGTTAGATCTCGGGAACGGGAATGGTCTTCCCAAGTTTCCACTGACACAAAATGTAGTGAAAACTTGATTGTTATGAGCTCTGTTCAAAGACTTGAGTTTTGTTAAGAGCTGAAGGTAAAAAAGCCAATTGAGGTTCCAGCTGTATTGATTTATTTGTGTCTACAGCTGGATGTCGACAGAATGGTTTAGAATGGTTTCTGGATTAACAAACTGGTCTCTAAATCCCACATCCTAATTTTCTAATTATTACAAACATTGTGTCAAAATCTTCTGGTTTTGTGACCTGCAGGTGGCTTGTCAGAGTGAAAACTGAGTGTTCTGGCTCCTAAATTCTGTCAAAATTGGTATAAAACCAGTGCGTGTAACAAACTAGAACGCGAGGAGGCTGGTATGTTAAGTAGAATGTGAAAGTGTGGAAAACTGGATTTAATTTTGATAGGTCTAAAGCAAGATTTTGACGTGGTTACACAGTTTTAGCAGTCTAACTCATCTAGCTTGAGATCAGACAAGTTTTCAACTCCATGAACTCTTCTTTTCCCTGCTGTGTATCTTCATGGCTGCAGTAGCGTTTTAGTAAATTGAAAATATTTTTGTGGGTTTTTCCCCCTCCTTTTCGTTGGAAATTTTTAGGGCAAGCCTGATTTGAACACAGCACTGCCCGTCAGACAGACAGCTTCCATATTCAAACAACCTGTGACAAAGATCACAAACCATCCCAGCAACAAGGTGAAGAGTGATCCTCAGAAAGCTGTGGACCAGCCCCGGCAGGTGAGACTTCTCCAGTAGCTTCTTCTCTAGAACTAACAAACTTCTGGTTTTGCTGCTGGGAGGGTCCCAGAAGAAACCACTTTAGTTTTGTGATGCTGAACAAGTAGTCTGTGGTAATTTGAAGTCTCTGATGTTTCAGAAACAAGGACTTACAGTGCTCCCAGCTTTTAAAATCGGAGCAAAACTCATTTCCAATATATAGATATTATTAACTATATATTATATATATAGTTAATATATATATAGTCTGCACTGTTTTATTGCTAGACTCCAACCTTTGTTTAGATTACAGTTCTGTTGTAGTTAAGCCTTCCTTTCCTCAATGCTGAAATTAAGTGTTATCTACAGATTTAGACAGATGTCGTAACCGCTTCAGGGGCCATTTGCCTTGTAATTCGAATTGCTGTCAAATGTTCCAATTGGATAAGAATTCTGTGTTTCAAGAAATCCCTGTTGGTGTACAGGCCACGTAAAATGTGGTGTTTGTGATGTAGTGCAAGGGATTGCACCCCCTGAGTGAGCCTTTTTTTCATTTTCAGATGTGTGTATCGTCAGTAGTTAACTCTGCCTGTATGAATAAGGTCATAAATTCACTTGGAATGTCATTAATACAGTATCAAAGTGTGTTTCTTATCATACTGCCTTATTTGCAAACAAGAAGAATACACCAAAATTCAAGGAAATCTTTCAGCTTAATTTCATCTAGTGAAAGGATGCAAAAAGTGTGCTTAGGACAAGTGTGGCTTTGAAGCTGGGCACTGGTAAAATAAGATGTACCTGTTCAAAGCAGCCTTTGGAAGATGTTCTCCTTAATATCACCTGGAGCTGACAGCCTGTTGCTTCCCCAGAGCTCACACCAGGGATTCTGTGAATCCTTTCCTGTAGTGAGCCCATCTTTATATCTTTTGGAAACTAGGTGTTCAGCTTCCCTAGTCTGTTCAGATGCTGTCAGCAGTATCAATTATCAGTGCCTTTTAAACTCTTGCAGGTCTGGTGGAAGTCGAATGTATCATTCCAAGAGGGAAAGTGATTTCAACAGCATTAAAAAAAATACCCACCTCTCATTGAAAACCTTTTTTGCAAACTTTAAAACTACCTTTCTGAAGTGTGAGTTAGGTTCTATTTGAAGTGGAGTTGGATGTTTTGGTTTTGGTTGGGGTTTTTTGGTGTTTTGTTGTTTTTTTTTTTTTAAACAGGTTGGTGGTGTTTTAACATGATTTCCTAAGGAAGTAGGGCACGTGTGTTCATAGTGTTGTTGCTATTCCTATAAACCCTGTGGCTAGTTAAGACAATAAAAGAGGACACTAAAGATATGACATTGATATGCAAACCCTGAGCTGGTTGGAGATTTGTGTCCCTGTCGTGGAAGGGGTTGATGTGTGAGTGCAGCTGATGTGTGACGGCAGAGATCAGCCCCTGTGCACAAAGATGTTGTCGTCTGACCTGTGTAGTTTTGCCTCTCACGTTACTACTTGGTGTAACTACTTCGTAGGCTCTGCTTGTGCTTTCCTTACGTAATCCTTTTTCTTTTTGGGACAACGTTGGAGTCTGTTTTCTGAGAAGGCCATTTGGAGGTTTGTATGTGTGTGTATATATATACTTTACGTATAACATATGTACACGTGCAGGTTCATATATTTTGTTTTCTATTACATAGCACAGAATAGGTCAGACTTGCTCTTTCTGCTGTCCTTCTCTGCATTATATATCCAAGAGTCTGTTAAATTACAGCTTTAAAGTATTTCACCAGGCTGCAGTATATTTTAACCTCCGGTCAGCAGGCTTCAGATGTCTTCTCAAAATTTAAAAGCAGTGCTAAGTGCTGTCGTCTGCTGGCTTAAAATTCACCTCTTTCAAAGTCATAAGCTGGATATTCTCTAGCTTATCTGTTTGGTCTGCAACTGCCCTTATTCCCCTTGTTGGGAGCTGGTAGTTGGAGAGGTGATGTGGGTTCAGTTGCACTCAAATTTTGACAGTCGTGAAAAGGGAACACGTGTGGACTGTTTGGGGTAAATTCTTAGTTTCTCAGCCTAGATGAAATTGCTTTCTTGCCAGACAAATGGTACTCCAGCTATTCATTGAACAGCCTTATACATGTGGACTCGGAGTCGAAGGTGGATCCAGGTAAAGTATCTGACTTCCCACCAAACCGTGTGCTCACATGTTGTTAAGCTGGAGGAGAACCTGTGATTCAAAATACGGTAAAGGGCCGGACGTGGTTGTTCTCACAAGAAACTGCTAGAGGAATAAAATAACGCTGTACTTTGGGAAGAGCTTGGATATAATTCTTCACATTTCTTAACTTATGTGGTATATATGAGACAGCAAGAGAGGAAGTTCAACAAGGCCAAGTGCAAGGTCC